GAACGAGCTGTGATTTGAAATGGTTTTCAAATGCTCATGAACCGTAATAAAATAAATCAATTATGCATTCATGCCACCCACCAAAAAATAAGAAATTCAACGTTACTGGTATATTAGCCATATTGTCATCCAGTCAGCCAGCGCCCTCTGTAGTGTATGCGACAATGTGCTCTTTCTAATGTCAATGGTGTCCACAAACTTCGTATTTTTGTTAAAATAATTTCAAAATGAATGTTGAGCCTAATGTTGTTAAAGCTGACTCCCAACAACTTACCAATAGTCGATTTTGAAATGATCGATGAATTTTACTTGAAAAATTTGCAATATATGATGGAATCGGCCGATACTTGATGAAAATCCATAACTAACGTATTCTAAAAACACTTTATTGTGTGATTTTCACTAGACATTTTCATGTCTAGTGACATTTTCATGTGAAGTATGCTGACGACAGCACACTTGTCTCGTCATTCCATTTGGATTTCAAAATATCGGCTGCGGAGGCACATCTTCACCGGCAGCAGGAGGTTGAATATCTTAATGAGGATCTAGAAGTGATTTCGAATTTGGGTGAACGTAACCAGGTTCAATTCTATGTCACAAAAACCCAGGCATCGGTTTTCTCCAAGAAGATAAATGTCTTCGAACCGGATATCCTAGAGGGTTGCCTTTTATATTTCGGGATTAGAGAAAAAAAAAACAAATATTAATCATAGAAAATTACTTTATTGTTCTTCAAAATATTCCCCATGAAGATCTATACACTTTTGCATGCGTTTGAACCAATTGTCGAAGCACTTTTGCCACTCTGATTGAGGTATCTCCAAAACATGCATTCTGAATGCAGCAACCGCTTCTTCAGGTGACGAAAAACGTTGACCTCTCAATTTGTTTTTTACGCACGGGATTGAAAAGAAGTCATTCGGTGCCAAGTCAGGACTATACTGCGGATGATTTATCAAATCGTTGTTTTGGGTTCTCAAAAATGCAGTTGTTTGAGCCGATGTGTGAGAGCTTGCATTGTCGTGGTAAAGAGTGATCCGTCTTCGGCGGTTGGTTTTCCTGATTTCTTGGAAGACAACTCGCGAACAAATGGTTGTGTACCACTCAGAATTGACTGTTCTGGGTTGTTCTAGTGGTACGGTTGCGACATGTCCAGTTTTCCAGAAAAAACAGGCGACGATTTGCTTGAAAGTGCTTCGTGCACGAACAACTTTTGTTGGATGGATTTGGCTCATTTTGAAACACCCATACAGTCGACTGCTGTTTACTTTCGGGCTCATATGCGTAAATCCACGATTCATCACCTGCCACGATGTCATAGACGTGTTTCGAAGCACCGCGATCGTATTTTTTGAGCATTTTCTGCGACAAATCGACACGAGCCTTTTTTTGAGCGATTGACAAATTGTGTGGGATCCAACGCGAACAAATTTTTTTCACAGTCAAATGTTTATGGTATATTGAATTCGTCTTGCAGTGAACTACGACCACGATTGAATTCACCATACCATCGATAAACACTGGTCCTTGATGGAGCTTCATCGCCAAAAATGGAATTAAGTTCACCCATGCACTGTTGTTGAACTTTGTTCAGATAATACTATTTCTATTTTGAACCGTTTTCAAGATAAACTGTTTCAAACGGAAACTGACGTGGTTTTCTTGCTCGTTTTTTTGAATTCATCACTTATTTTGGATATTCAACATTTTTTTTATACTTACTAATATTTCTTTTTGATCCAGTTTTTTAACTGTCTCAGATCAGTCAATTCGGAATTGGTATGTACCTACCTTAGAAAAAGTTACAATTTGTATACATTGAAGTATTGGTCTCTAACGTACAACAGTATACATTAATATTTTTTAATAGTGTGCTTTGGAAAAATAAATAAACCAATTATTTAACGTCAGACTTTCGTTGGTGGTTTTGACTGATTGTGATAGCTACCAATTATAATAGAATAATGTCAAGATTAGGTTACAGNATTTGTTGACAAAGTGATAATGAATCATAATATGATATTATATACGGGGTGTTCCATTTGAAAAATCAAAGAAGCCGCTACTTTATAGTAGAAGCGACAACGCCGCTTCGTCTAAAATATTTTAGGCGCTTAGGTCATATTGATTTATGCATACTGTGAAATTTTCAGGTTGATTCGTTAAATAGTTTGCCAGAAACGGCTAATTAACGCTCATCATGGAAAGCCCTGTATATTCAGTATACTCTGATGTAGGTACCCGTCGGTTTGCAACAGCAACATAACTGTTGTTGACACAGGTCAGGTTCAGACGACACCAAGACATCGACTTCCTTGTCGCCAGGGATAATATAACCGTACAATTTGCCAGCACTTTGGATTTTGTCAGGTATCTCAAGTTCACTTCACTTTTCACTATTTATTAGTATACCCACTCTAGAAAACTTCAACGTGAAATTCAATAATTTGTGTCGTCCTCAACATATTGAGGTTGTCATGATTTTGAAACTTTTCCGAATATCTCATAAATATATTCAACGTTTTTGCCGAATATAGGTAATAACCAAAAGAGTCTTCTCTGAAAGACTTTTTTTGGGGAATAATCAATAGGTATCAACTGGATTTCTTGGTTCATATATAACCTTTCACAATCTGAAAAATAGACAAAGCTGAAACAATAGAGAATCTGCTCAAGTGTAATAAAAAGCAAACTGTGTAATACCCAAATTATAAATGCAGTGCCAACCCAGTTGGTAGATATGAACACGTTTGAAAAAATGCCCTATACCATTGCTGAACCTCCCGGAACCAAAGGAATATACAGGTCACTGTTTCAGAAGGTGTTCTGCTTCTTTGTTAGCAGAATCAGGAGCAAATATAACGGATATTGGGAAGCACGAAGGATGGAAGTCTACAACAATAGCTGAGGGTTACATCGATCAATCTATTTCTTATAAAAAAGCTATTGAAAGAATAATCCCAACAGCTAGCTCCAGCGTTACAGCATCGTCCTCTTCACTTCAAGAATTGAATGTTGATGACCATGAAATTGTCAACTCAGAAAGTTCAAATTTATTACAAGGCTCTTCAACATCGTAAGGTATTAATATCAGCAGAAGTCCTAATTGTACTACTCATATTATTGTCTATAAATAATAATAATGTGATAAATGTATATAATACATTTGAAACAGAATTTAGTTGTATCTATATCTATTATTCACAATAAAACTTCCTTGAAAATTGAATAATCATGTTTTGTTTATTGCTGTTTGGTCGAAAAAAATCGTGTTAGAAATATTTCTACCAAGCTACTTTGTAAACATCATCTTTTAATACTCTTGACAACCATTAAAAAGTCACTTTCATTCACAGTTGTCCAAAAACCAGTTTTTTTATGAAGGTCAAAATAATTAGAGCTGTCACAATTTGGGACGACAAATTTTGAAAACGAAAAAAGAATGTTTTCCGACCACTAAACAAAGCTAAGTATAAATATAAAATTTTTTAAAATGATTCCTTCAATTTGAAAGCAAAATTTATAAATACAAGTTATTGACTAAGTATGTCTTTAGACTCTTCAGTGGTTTATATTAAGCAGTAACTATTCGGGCTGAACTTTTCAATTATATACATTTCTGCAGATTCTCTGTTGATTTACCTTTGTTCATTTTTCAAATTGTAGAAGGTTTTAATACCCAAAAAACAGTAAGAAGCATTGAGTTCTCTACAAAAAAAAGTATTTTAGAGAATATTTAGACATAAAAAGAAATTCCATACTATGTTTATTCCAAGGTCAACAAATGCATAAATGATATCACTTATCACATAGAGTAGACTCTAACTTTTTCTGACTTTACTTAAGAAAATATATATAGACACCTACTATAAATGGGAGTTGGGTTAACAGTGAACTATGTGCTACAAACATTCGTATTTTCAATCAATTAATTTCTTGAAAACATTTCAATGAAAAATGGAAGTTATGATTTTTTATATTCTATATTAGTATATTCCATATGGTCATAGCCACTGGAAAATCTGCTTACCTATTCACTGAATTGTCCTTTAAAACCGATATACATAGTCCAAATTTGATATGTAAACATCTTTTGACTCCACCAGAACAAAAAACCCCTCTTTTTCGAGGCTCTTTGCCTATTTAATAGAATAGAAATCACTACCACCACTAAGTTTCAACAAAAATTTCCGGTTCTCTTCTTTTTTAATATTGCAGAAAATATCAAAATTATCGTTATTCCATTATAATTAATTTACTTTATGTTCTTGACACAACGTTTGACATTTAAAATATTATTAAATTATCATTTATTCGTTTTTCTTTCCTGCTTTACTCCCTTTATAGGAAAGTTCACGTCTGGCGTCGATGTTGACACGAGCGATTATAACTAAAGAATACGTACCACGACAAAACCCGGAAACTAATCAAAACAACTCGCTTTCTTCCCTTCTTTTTTTCATCAAGTTTAATTGCAAAATATTTTGTATTAATATGAGTTAGCTGTTATTATTATTATTATGAGTTAGCATTATGATATGCTATTGCGAAGGTCTGTCAAGGATAAGGTTTGCAACATTAGGGGAGCAAAAACCATAACCCTCTCAATATATGGGGAACTTGAAGTCTGGCCTATGTAGTCTAGTTACAAGGACGGGCCTAGACAAGGAACTCTAGCATACATGATGAGGGCACACACAGTAGACCTGCAAAGGTCACAGTGTAGCGGCTGTTCAGCACAGAAGCCCCATAATAATCTAATCTAATATAGCTGTTATTGGTTGGATGGAAGAGCAATTTCATGTGCAAATGTTGAATTCCGCCTTTTGTTAGGTTAGGTTAATGTCTCTTGCACCGAGTAACCTTTCAATAAAAGTATTTTTTATTATTGTATTTTGTGTAATAATCACTGTTATTTTACCTAGGAACAATAATCAACTAAATTGCAATTAAATCTTAGAGGAGATATGGAATTGTGAACCTGAAAAATGACTCACCCAGGGCCGTAGTTTGAACAATAACAGAACCAAATAAAAACCAGAGCACAATTGAGCAACGTCCTTACTCACAAACAGTACGCAACTGGGATCTCTTTCACTCAACCAGGGCGCCACATGAATCGGATCAAAAACAACCAATGAGAAGAGGCGGGTTGAACCGCTTCACTCATGAAACCCAATGGAGTCGAGCAGGCGGGGCGTAAACTCTTGATTAAAATAATGGAAACTGTTGATTATGAAGAGACTATCATGGTAGCTAATTATTTGTAAACATTTTCTAATTGCTTGAAAATTATTGAGCTTTTGGAATTTTTATGGGCGAATTTTACAGCTGGTGCTATTTAAAGTGGTTAGTCGGTTTAATGAATTTATAACTTGGAACCTTGGGTGTCATGTCACTGAATGATAAGTAGAATTACTTCAACATTGAAAATTTCCTGATTTGAAAACATTCTTTTGTGGTTATTAGACGCACCAATTGAAGGTAATGAGTTGTCACATGTTTGTAATATTGATAAAGGTTATTTAGTTAATATATAGGTAGATACTCGTTTGGAGCTAATTAGAGACCCATTATTTGCGACGTGTCTCTTAAGTTTCTCCCTATCCAGTACAATATTCATTCATAGGTGTCTAATTGTGATAATACTATTTCCATTCTGAAATTATTTTTGTCAAATTGAAGTTTAAACCTAGTATACCGGGGTAGTTGGCCATAGGTTTTTCTGAGCTCTATCACTAATGAAATACCTAATTATGTTTTAATAATAATATTAATTTTTTATAGAACTTTATAAACAATCAACCATTATACATGCCCTTTCTATTATCTTCCATCAGACATGGAGAAGAGGAATCAAAAGTAAAAAATGAAAGCAAAAAGTAGGTAATTATAAACCTATAATTAAGTTATGGCCATCTTACATCTAATGCCATGGATGGCCATCAAATCCGGACACCTCGGGAGAGATAGCCAATTGTGATTTAAAAAAAAAACCGTTCATCACGTGGTAACATTGCTATATTCTAAACCAGGGGTCTCCAAACTACGGCCCGCGGGCCAAATCCGGCCCGTCAGTGTCATCAATCTGGCCCGCGACAGCCAATGATTACCTAATTGTTGTTACTATTGCTGTGATAAGTTGAAGAAGAAAACACAGAATGATAATTACTCGGTTTTATTTACTTGCATGGTAAAACTTAACGACAGAAATGATGACAAAGAAAACTTAACTTAAGTGTCTAAGTTTAAGCATATTAATAACTAACAAATAATTGAAATGAATCACAGTAAAACAAAAACACTAATGAGATTTATGTAATTGTGATTTTCCACCGACAATACTTTGTAGTTGTGGATCAATTTTACTTGTACCAATTATCAAAAGAGATTTAAGATGCTCATCGGTTAATTGAGATCTGTAAACATTCTTTGTGTACTTCATCTTGGAAAACGTTTTCTCACACAAGTAAGTAGTACCAAAAACAGAAAACAACCCACGAGTAAATTTATGCATATTATCAAATTGTTCCAATGGAAGACTCTTATGAAATTCCAACACAGATGAATTTTGATATTTGTTCTTAAGCATATCACTGCACCATAAATCAATAATTTCCATTTGGACTTCCGGAGCCAGGGTTTCAATATCCGAATGAAAAGGATTTTGAAAAAGCTTAATTTCATTCGCAATGACATCAAAATCTGAAAAACGAGTATCAAAATTTCGATTGCAAAATCGACGGGAAATTCAGTCTCTGTAGTGTGGCTGAATATTTCACATGTTTCAAAATGTGTGAAACATTTTTNCTAGTCTAGAAATATAGTTAAGGGCAGAAATTGGCCCTTGGAACAAACTGAAAAAATTATTACGGTCCGAAGGCCTCAAAGTTTTAAGACCCCTGTTCTAAACCATAACAGATACGAAGACAATTAAATTAGAAAAATGGTTACTGTCATCGGGAACAATAAACGGTTGAAGAAAATTCACGGGGACTCTCGCCCTTTTCGAGTTATACGGGAAAAACAAAAAATGATGTTTTTTGTTTTTTTCGAATGGAATTGTTATTTCGGACAATATCAAAAAATGGTAAAGGAAAATGTTATTGTGTTCGAAATGTGCTATGACGATATAATAATAAATATTCAATAAAGCGTTTAGTATCAAAATGGCCATCATCAACTTTCTTTAAATACGGCCCTGTCTTTTTTATTACATATGTTGATAAAGCGATAAATTCACGGTCCAAGGGTATATCACATTCGATATTTCTATAGCCTTTCATTCGAAATTGATTGATTGATAATATGTTTATTGTTTAAGAATAAAATTTTTGTTACAAACATAATGTCATGAATAAATATCATTATAAACATGAAGTATAAGATGTGGAGTATAAGTGTATAAAATATAAATGATTAAAATGAAATGTAAACTATATATACATACATATGCAGAGGTTACATGACAAAAAGATTCCTCATTTTTTTGTATGAAGATGGAGAAGTAGAAAGCCAAAATGCGAGTTGTTGTGAGATGGCGAACTCCTTGGACGTCAGTTTCTTAGCTCCCATGTGTAAACGCTGCAAATCTAAAGTGGTGAACGGAATCAAGTGTAAAAACTGTACGAACTGTTTCCATATTAGTTGTGCCAGTTACGCAAAACTGAAATTCAACGAGGAAAGATCGGAAATGATATGATGTATGGATACCATTGCCAATAACGAGGATCAACACAGTTGAAATATTCAGAAATCATCAATTTGACAGAAGAAAATGAGACAGGGAATCTTCCAGCACAACCATTGCTATAGATACTTGAAAAATCAGACAACTGGAAAACAGTTCAATATAAAAGAAATAACATACCCCTTTCAATTTAAACGAGAGTGCTATGCCTGGGATTTAATCAAATAAGCGAACGAATTTTATTAAGTACTGTCATCGATGACATGAATGGATTACACTCAATCGTAGCTAAAAGTCGAAATTTCATGAAAGAATTGAGTGCCTCATCTTATAATGTTATCCAGAGTGGTGCTGAATAGGTAAAAACGCAAGTGTCTTATTCAGAAACATCTGATGTCCACCACTGAGGATGACAGTTTTACCTCTTTCAGTTACTATATTGTGTAGGAATCCTGTGAATGAAATCTGATTCAATTCCATAACAAATGTTTGGGATACAAACAGAATAAATACTAGTTATTCATGATATGAGTGTCAAAAATAAAGTTTTATTTTGTGAGTGAAAAAGTTTGCGAAACGAGCGTAGCCAACCTATACCAAAGAGCATACTATATAGCTTGTTAAAATAAAATAAAATAAAATAATGTTGGGTTTACTGATTACTACATAAGGACACATTGCAAAAATGAATTTGGATAGGCAATATTGTGAAATTAATTTTTATATAGCTGAAAATTGTTTTTATATAAACATATATTGTAAAATAATAGATAAGGCAAAATTGTAAAATTAATTTAGGTTCTTCTGCTTCTTTGCTAGCAGAATCAGGAACAAATATAACGGATATTAAGAAGCACGGAGGATGGAAGTCTACAACAGTAGCTGAGGGTTACATCGATCAATCTATTTCTTATAAAAAGGCTATTGTTGAAATAATAATCCCAACAGCTAGCTCCGGCGTTACAGCATCGTGCTCTTCACTTCAACAATTAAATGATAATGCCCATGAAATTGCCAACTCAGATAGTTCAAATACATATATTACAAAGTTTTTCAACATCGCAATGTATTAATATCAGCAGTTGTTCTAATGGGAAATGTTCCTCAATTTGGGTTATTAGAGCAAATGCAAGTTTGAACAAAATAAAGTTGAGTTAAATTCATGAGTTTTTCAAATTTACTTCGGAAAGTATTCTAATTGATGTTTGAAATGTTGGGTTTTAATTTTAAAAGGGATTTGTTTCTAATTCACATATTGGCAACAGCGCCTATATCAAGTTGAAATAATTTATGCGTACCTAGATATTCTACTTTAAAAAAGGAAAATTATCTTTATAAATCAACAATTAAGGCAAAATATAAATTATAGTTTAATACCACCTCCACAAGCCACATAAACAACAGTTGTTTTGTTATTTATTTATATAGAGGAAGATAGGTTAGGTACACAAAATGTCATATGTCACAGAATGTCTCGGAACTCGGAACATAAGTAAACAGAACAGCACGCATCTGAAATATCTTTGTTTGTCTCATACATGTAATAGATTCACTGTCCTTTATTTGCTATAACTGATGTTGCCAAATGGTGAAATAGAAACGAATGCATTATTTCATTCCTCTTTTTTGAGTATTTGAATGATTTTTTAAAGAAAAAGGTTGAAATTTAAGTTTAAAATGCGTTTTTTAAAGCTCTGTTATGAAAACTACTTAATTTTCGTCAGGAGGAACATTACCCATTGTTCTTTTCGTATGAATGTTCATAAATAATAATAATAGTGTAATTAATGTATATAATACATTTGTAACAGAATGTAATTGTATCTATAGCTAGTGTTTATAATAAAACTTCGTGGAAAATTGAATAATTATGTTTTGTTTATTGCTATTTGGTCGAAAAAAATCATGTTAAAAATATTTTCAACAATAGTGTTATATGAAAGTCATATGAAATTATAGCTGTTTGAAAAGGGCTTTTCTTCCAGTTTGTGTCTGTAAGTTACTTCTCAGCATGATCTACACATCTCTGTATAAAGGTATGGGAAGCTGCCCTGAAAAAAATTCAATGTGACTGCCTCTCGTGGTCGTTGACCATAAGAGAGTTGTGGGAGGATTCGAATTGAATCAGGAAGTGAATGAGTAGTCCAATGAATGAAAATAAATTTCTATGAAAGGAAGTAGTAATTTGCAAAACCTGCAAACCAATTATCTCTTGAAATAACGACAAATTCGCGTTCTGAATTAGCTGTTATAACTGTCATCACAATTATATGAATATACAGCAAGTGTCTTAACAAATACGTCTCAGCAATTCACAAACGTCAGAGTGAGTACGGTTAATTACGTATCCTAAATCAAGCATCTTGTAAAATGAAGATTAA